ATCCCCCGGCCAAGCCTGTAACGCTGGGAAGTGACAGGCGAGGGCAGTTCCACTAGAAAAGTTTTATTAATATAATGACGTTAGTACATAAAAAATTAAAAAAACCCATTGTGCACGACATTGTGCTTACAGTCAGTAGTAAATTATATTTGCATCATTTAACAGCGACTCATTTTTTTTAGAGGCACTCCTGATATTCTTAAATAATGCACTTAGAGATTTTTACTTTTGTGCTTTGTTGACTCTGCAGCTCAAAGCTGCCATACCGCTGCCCATCACACCAATACCTCTGCCATTCATTATGCAAATGTCCTAATTATCTTGCGTCCTCATTACCAGCAACTGCAATTGCCCCTTAAACAGAGTTCCTACCTACCTACAGCACATAGACATTAAAAAAAAATTAACAGTTCACTAAAAACATAACTGCACTCAGTGCTCTAACTGTTGTGTTATGCAAACACATTGCCATTTAATAATAGATTCAGGATATTCTTTAAGACATTTAGGACTTTATCTTCATAGAGCTGGTATAGTCCAAACGAAGATTAAAAAAACCAAAACAGCCAAGTTTTTTCCACGTGCATACACATACGCAATCAAATGAAGTCTCTGCTACATAAAGCAGCAATGATTAGAGATTGGTTTCATAGGAAAAGTTTGAAATTTCCCGTCCGCTGAAACACAGTTCATTCCTTTATGCGGTTTACATTCAAGAATTAAAACTGAAGGAGCGTAAAATTAAGACAATAGCTTCAGTTCTCCAGTTCGTAAGTTATTTGGAACTTGAGTTACACACTTGCAGAACTGCCAGATGCCTGACTACTTAGCTTATTTTCTTATGAAGAAGAATTAGCACTTCACTGAACTCCTCTATTTAAGGAGCTTTTGTATCACAAAATAGTTCAACCTGAGAAAAAGAAAGATATAGGAATATATGAAAGTTTATCTGAAAAATGTTTCTTTAAATTTAGGCTCCGTATCAAACATTGTCTGAAAGAGACGAATGAAAAGTGCACTTGAGGAAATGAGGGAACTGGAAGAAAAAAAAAAAAAAATTTAAAAGTCCTTGTCAGTTTTGAAAGAATTTTGTATCTGGCATTGTACCTTACCACAGCAGAAGAAACTACAACCAACAAGTTGGGCCCTTCATGGGCGTTCCTCTTGCTAATAAAGAATAGCTTCTGATAGTTTTTGCGATAATGCAGTATTAACGATAATCTAAAATAAGACATTCCTGATTTAACAGGACAGTCTCATTTCTCTCCCCTAAGCATATGTTAATATAACACCCCAAAGTAACTGAAGTTAGCATTTCTAGCTACCTGAGAAACAAAGTATTTGTTATGTATTCATTTATATGAAGATTCATATGGAATGCTTAAATACATAATGCTTATGCAAAGACCCCCTGGCTTATTACAAAACAGTTAAAAATTGGGTGAATGAACTCTAGCAGTTGGTATACTAACAGAGCTTTTAAAAAAAAACTGAGTGAAAAGTAAAATAATGGTTTAGGTTATTAAATACTGGGGATTGCAGGATGATACTGCTATGTAACATGAGTGATAGCTTTTACACATGCAGTGTTCATATATGAATCACATCCCTTAAAAAAAAAAAAAACACAACTGTTTTCAGTAAGTATAGACAGATTTTTTTTTCATTACCCCTACAGAAGAAGAGGGCTCAACAGAAATTAAAAATTTTCTTCCAGTGCCCAACAGAAGATACAGACTGGCAAGTTGCCAATTACTCTTCTGAAAACAAAATGAAGATACCCAGCATCTCCTACGCTGAGGTCCAAAGTGACCTACAAGCACCCTTAAACCACATAACAAATACTCAGATCCACAAAGGATAACCTACTTCACCCTCCAAAACAAACAGATACTGCAAACAGCTAAAAGCTCTTGACCTCTGTAGTGCTCTACTGCAGGAATTAAGGTGCTCATAATCCAAGTTGCTTACAGCTTGTCCATAGACAGTATCTCTTTGAAGACAGAAAAATCAGCATTTTCAAAGTTGTTTTGACTCTCTTACCAGTTCCTCCTCCTGATTCATACTGTCCTTTGAAGAATAGGTGCATGGTGTTTTCCCTGTCTTCCTCTACAAAATTGGATGATTACGATGTTAATTAGCACAAAAAGGGATGCTGCACAAGCAGCGCACAGGTTAACACAAATGTCTCACTATTGCTGACTAATTTTCATTTGACGCAAACTAACAAAACAGCCATTTTCCCTGAGAATCAATCCAAAAAGCAGCCTCTTTTTACTCCTTGTAAATTAGCCCTGTAGTCATACTTCTGCAACAAGCTAGTCTACCCCATTCACCTTCTGTTCTTTTTTTGTGTCCTATCACCTTGACAAGCCAAGATACCAGAGCTAAGCATAAAGTTCTGGACGGCATTATTACGGATGAGTTGTCTCCAAAGACTTAACAGGAGCAGTATCGATCCCTGATATCCAATGCACTATTCAGCTTTTTGGCATAAAAGTTAATCAATTACAAACAGTATTGCAAACATGTAGAATTCCTTAATCTCTTCAGACAGACATACTGATAGATTCCAGTTAGTATAAAAGTGCAGTCAATATAATACTCAGTGCCCCGCAAAGACATACTGGTTTCATTTACAATAATTTCAAGTTTACATGAACATTTTCATATTAAACTTATTTCCACTTCCAGTGTTCAAGAACTGATATAATACTGTAGTAAGGTTATTCCTGGGCAACCAGAGAAATGCTCTGAAGATAATCTGCAGATGCCATTATAAAATCACTCCATTCCCTGGCCAGCTCTTCAATGGAGACTTCCTCCCCCCCATATTCCTGTGGGAGAATGCTGACCGGGAAATGTTCAGTCAGACTCTGCATGTAGTTATTTCCATGCATATGCACCTAAAACAAAACATGAAAAACATTTATTTGGGTATGAATGCTAGACTACTGAGCGAAAACAAGCAGCAAAGAAACTCAGTGCAAGAGCTGAAGCCACCAGCTTGCTTCGACTAAACAAGTGTAGTTGTTTGTAATGAGCTCCTTAAATGAAGAATAAAATACCATCATGCAAGTGAGTTTCCTGTGGGTGCTCAAACTCTGTCCTGCTCAGTATCTGCAGTTTGATGAAGCATGGACTGCAACCAGAGAGCTGTATTTTATGCAGCTGCAAGCACAGGAGCTGAAACTACACACTGGTTGCAGACTGGTTTAGCAACACTGATGAGGGTACACGCTACATCCATACAGCTGAAGTGAGCTAAACCATGGGAAGACTGGGGTGTGGTCTGGTTGTGATAGGTATCACGTACTTGCTTTTCAGTCATTTCCAAGAACAGAACAGTGTTTCGCTCCTGGCCATTAGCATCTGGTCCTGCCATATGTGTTTAAAAACAACATTATCTAGGAACTATGCAGGTTCAGGCAGGTGCCAAGGAGGATATGCAGAAGAATATGTATCTCAGTCCTTACATTTCAGTTCCAACTGAAATTAGATCCTGGAGTACTCTTCCAATTTAACCCTTGTAATACTGTACTTTTGATTCTTCTCTTCTTGCTTTATTGTAGATATTTTGAAGCCTGGTTCATTATTTCCAGTCAGAAACTTTTACAGGCCTCTTATTAACACCTGACAAGAATTTTCTGCAGTTATTACACAAAGACTACAAGAATATGCACT